TGACTGAGATTTGTTTTCGTATATTAATATTACCATTACCTTGACCTAGAAGAGAAGGTTATCAAATGCAATATTATTGGCAGCATCTCAAAGAAGGGTATAGCGTCAATCTTATTTTGTTTTGTTCTGTAATTTTTTGTTTTCTATGTGGGAAAAGACAGAAATAGAATAGCTTGAAGTGCTATAATTGGTGCCATTAATTCAAATCACTGGGATTCAAAACAGTTTTGAAGTTTAACGTAAAAAATCAAAACATAGCTATTTTATACATTCTACTTACAGAGAATTAATGTGGAAGTCCGTTAAGCATTATGTTTACATAAATCTGAATTAAATAAAAATATATAGCATTGTATGTATTTATAGTCTTTTCTACAAAAAAAAAGCATACTCTTTGAAATAAATACTATGTGTGATGAGGAAGTGACTTACACCTTAATCAGATGAGTGCTGGTCAAAATTATTTTTGGAAGGGACATAAATGATAAACACAAAACAAGCAGAAGTAACCAAGATGTAGAGCTCTTAAAGAATCTATTGCCTGTCCAAAGTAATAAAGTCAGCATGAAACGTTTCTTTTTTACACTTCTTAAGAAACTTAAAGCATCACCAATGCTGTGTGAATTCAGTTTGTCAGAATTGTCCAAGGTTTCACCTCTTCTAACTTTGCAGTGTAAACTGTTTATCTATGCTTCTTCAGGGACAGAGTACTATGTCCATAGGGAAGGTCCCCATTTATACTATATTTTCTGACAGACTTTCTCTCTAGACAGATATTTGGATCTTAGTCCACCAAATAGTTGAAATTACACTCAATTTGTATGCACTCTCTTAATGGACGTTCCTAAAAAGTCCAGCCTTCCTCCTACCAAACACCCCACTCTTTATATATCTATATATGATAAAAAAGGGTTGACACTTCAGAAACATTTTGCCAAAAGCTAGTATATTTGTATTTGAAAGCAAGGGAATTTCCCTTTCCACCAATATTCTACTTTTTTTTTTTTTTTTTAAAATGAGGATCTTTTTATGGTTGAGTGGGCTTGTGGAAATAAACCAAATTGAAGAAACAAAGTTTTCTCTCTAAGTATATGATACCACTGCTTTAGATCTTAAAAATGTGCAGAGTAGAGATGTAGGATCTCCTGTAGTATCTCTTCTGAGAGATCATTCCTGCACTGTTGTCTCTCTTTTTATGCCAGTTCTTATGGTGTTAAAACCGCTTCATCAGTGGCACACAGACTTTTGTATTATGTGCTCTTAAAAGAAAATAATTTTATAATAAATATTACCTAAAGATTCTCTAGTTAACATATGGAAAGAGGGGGGTTTTAATTATATTTTCTTATCAGGAAGACATAAAAACACATGACAAGGGTTGTATTATAATACAGCTTTGGGTTACAATAAAGTACATTTTATTTTTAGAACACTGATATCTTTAAAACATTGATTTCATTAACTATATTTATTTTCTTAATTTAAGAATGTGCCTTTTATAATATCAGTAGAAGAGGCAGACCACATTCTTCTGGTCTAAATTTTGGGATCAAATTTCCCACAAAAATACACGACATTAATGGCAAAACTAGTAGGGCTGTGGCTTAATGGAAATCACAGTATCACAGTATGCTAGAGATTGGAAGGGACCTCGAAAGATCATCTAGTCCAATCCCCCTGCCGGAGCAGGAACACCTAGATATTGTTACACAGGAATGTGTCCAGGCGGGTTTTGAATGTCACCAGGGAAGGAGACTCCACAACCTCCCTGGGCAGCCTGTTCCAGTGTTCCGTCACCCTCACTGAGAAGAAGTTTCTTCTCAAGTTTAAGTGGAACCTCTTGTGTTCCAGTTTGTACCCATTACCCCTTGTCCTATCATTGCTTGCCACTGAGTAGAGCCTGGCTCCATCCTTGTGACACTCCCCCTTTATATATTTATAGACACTTATAAGGTCACCCCTCAGTTTCCTCTTATCCAAACTATAGAGACCCAGCTCCCTCAGTCTTTCCTCATAAGGGAGACACTCCACTCCCTTAATCATCTTTGTTGCCCTGCGCTGGACTCTCTCCAGCAGGTCCCTGTCCTTCTTGAACTGAGGGGCCCAGAACTGGACACAATATTCCAGATGGGGTCTCACCAGGGCAGAGTAGAGGGGAAGGAGGACTTCTCTCGACCTACTAACCACCCCCCTTCTAATACACCCCAGGATGCCATTGGCCTTCTGAGCCACAAGGGCACAGTGCTGGCTCATGGTCATCCTGTCGTCCACTAGGCCCCCCAGGTCCCTCTCCCCTACACTGCTCTCTAACAGGTCGTTTCCCAACCTATACTGGAACGTGGGGTTGTTCCTGCCCAGATGCAGGACTCTACACTTTCCCTTGTTATATTTCATCAAGTTATTCCCTGCCCAACTCTCCAGCCTGTCCAGGTCTCTCTGGATGGCAGCACAGCCTTCTGGCATGTCAGCCACTCCTCCCAGCTTAGTGTCATCAGCACACTTGCTGATAGTACACTCAATTCCCTCATCTAAATCGTTGATGAATATATTAAATAATACCGGTCCCAGTACTGACCCTTGAGGCACTCCACTAGTTACAGGCCTCCAACTAGACTCAGCCCCATAGACTACAACTCTCTGGCTTCTCTCCTTCAGCCAGTTCGCAGTCCACCTCACTACCTGATCATCCAGTCCACGCTTCCTCAATTTAGCTGTGAGGATGCTGTGGGAGACTGTGTCAAATGCGTTGCTGAAGTCAAGGTAGACCACATCCACCGCTCTGCCATCATCCATCCACCGTGTTATTTCCTCATAAAAGGCTAAGAGATTGGTCAAACATGATTTCCCCTTGGTGAAGCCATGTTGACTGCCCCTCATAACCCTCTTATCCTTGATATGCCTTAAGATGGCACCAAGGATAAGGTGTTCCATCACTTTCCCAGGGATGGAGGTGAGGCTGACCGGTCTATAGTTACCCGGGTCCTCCTTCTTGCCCTTTTTGAAGACTGGAGTGACATTTGCTTTCCTCCAGTCCTCAGGCACCTCTCCTGTTTCCCAAGACTTGGTAAAGATGATGGAGAGTGGTCTAGCAATGACTTCCGCCAGTTCCCTCAGCACCCGCGGGTGCATCCCATCTGGACCCATGGATTTATGGATGTCCAGATTGCTCAACTGGTCTCTAACCCATTCCTCATCGACTAAGGCAAACCGCTCCATCGACCTGACTTCCTCTAAGGTCTCAGGGGTACAGGGCTCTTCAGGACTGCCTGCAGCAGAGTAGACAGAGACAAAGAAGGCATTCAGTAACTCTGCCATCTCTGTATCTTCTGTCACCAGGGCACCCATCCCATTCATCAGTGGGCCTACATTGCCTCTGGTGTTAGTTTTGTCTGCCATGTATTTGAAAAAGCTCTTTTTGCTGTCCTTAACTCTTCTTGCCAGGTTTAATTCTAAGGAGGCCTTAGTCCTCCTAGCTGCCTTCCTACATCCTCTAGCAGCAGCCTTATATTCCTCCCAAGTGGCCAGCCCCTCCTTCCATGACCTGTAAACTCTCCTCTTCCACTTGAGCATACCCAGCAATTCCCTATTTAGCCACGCAGGTCTCCTGGCCCTCTTCCTTGACTTCCTACGTGTCGGGATGCTCCCATCTTGAGCTCGGAAAAAGCAATCCTTGAATGCCAACCAACTGTCTTGGGCCCCTTTACCTTCAAACAGCCTTGCCCATGGGATTTCCCCTAGCAATTGCTTGAAAAGGCCAAAGTTTGCCCTGCTAAAGTCCAGGGTTGCAATTCTACTTGCTACTCTACTAGTCCTACCACACAAGGTCCTGAACTCCACCATCTCGTGGTCGCTGCAACCAAGGCAGCCCTCAACCCTTACTGCTTCAACCAGACCCTCCTTGTTAGTGAGGATGAGATCCAGCAGCGCTCCTCTCCTGGTTGGCTCATCCACCATTTGCAGAAGGAAGTTATCATCCATACACTGGAGGAACCTCCTGGACTGTGGCTGGGTTGCTGAGTGGTCCTTCCAGCAAACATCAGGGAAGTTAAAATCCCCCACGACAACCACCGCCTGTGACTCTGAGGCCGCTCTCAGCTGCCTGTAGAAGGCCTCGTCAACCTCCTCACCCTGATCTGGTGGTCTGTAACAGACACCTACAACAGTATCGCCTCTGACAGCCTGCCCCTTAATTCTCATCCACAGACTCTCAACTCGCTCGTCATCTGTCCCTGGACAGAACTCGGTGCATTGTAGTTGCTCCCACACATAAAAGAGCAACCCCACCACCCCGCCTGGCTGCCCTGTCTTTCCTGAAAAGGACATAGCCCTCCGTGACTATATTCCAGTCATGTGAGCTGTCCCACCACGTCTCTGTAATTGCCACCAGATCATAGTCTCCTGACTTAACACAGGTTTCCAACTCCTCCTGCTTATTTCCCATGCTGCGCGCATCGGTGTACAGACATTCCAGGAAGCGAGCTGAGCACACCGATTTCACCCTAGGATTATAGGAGGCCTCCCAGTCTTCATTAATTCTGGAGTGCTGCCCCACTAAGAAATCTAAGAAATTAATGTGGAATTTCCTATTTTGGGGGGGTTATTTTAATTTTCATGTAGCCACTGGCAGTCCTTTGCTTTAACATCTCATGAAATTAAAATTATACCATTTTAAGGGTGACATGAGAGATTTCATTTATTTAAAAATCTTCTAAGAAAGTAGTCAGAAAATTCAATCCAAACAACATGCTGAAAAGCTGTAGTTTTCTATAAGATCTCTCAAAGGAAAGTCTAGCAAACATTTTACCTGCATTTTAGAAGAATTTATTTTACTCAAAGCCATACACAGAATGGACACTCATAAACATATGGATTATTCACAAGATTTATTATTACTATTGTGTGATACATATAAAATATAAAAGAAAATATTATATAATTTAAAAATATTTCAATACATAACAGCCAACATATTCAGCACTTATTTTAGGCTTTACATTTCATAAATTTTTCAGCTTGTCTTTGCATAAAACAATGTGATTTGTTCACAGTACACCCAAAGTTGTTTCAGCTGTAAAAAGTCTTACCATTTTAATCTTTTTTTTTTTTTTTTAATAAAAAAAGCCCCATAACCAAACAAAAAAGCGTGGGTTGTTGATCTATGGACGTATTATCCTAATTTTACTAATATTCTAGCCAGAAATGCTTGGAACTGCTGATATCCTTCCAGAATTGTGTACGCCTGTAAGAACCTGGGACTCTATATGTAAGAACAGAGGATCAAAGAAAGTGAAGGTACTTGCATTAAATATATGTTCTAACATGATTTTGAATTATTCTCTCAGAAAAAAGCATTGGCATTGCACCCTAGAAGTCAGGTTAATAGAATATTCAACTATGCTGATTTTAAAAACTTAGGTACTTTGAAGTATATTATGTCATGATGCTCTGCTCTGGTTTACTTCAAATTCTCTGTCACTTCTGTTGCTGCCTCAGTTGGAAGTTTTTTGCTACTGTTTTGCCAAATATGCGGCCAAGGTCTAGAATCAATTATGTGTACCAACTTTATTAGTTTATTATGGTATTGTGACTTAATCATCCACACATCAGTCACTCTGCTATATGGTTGGTTCATAAGTATCTGTTCATCACAGTGGTTAAAGGAAACTGGTCAATGAAAGAGTTGATTTTATCTACAAGAAGTATACATATTGTACAGAACTATTTTTTGGCACAAGCTGTGGACCACTATACCTTAAATTATGCTTGGGCAAGTTTAGACTTATGGTAAATATAGTTCTCCATTGCTGGAATCCAGAAGCCCTCACTCAAAATAAATTCAAGTGTCATCTTCATGTATCCTCTTTTTCTTTCTAGATGGTATGATATACTGGGTCAGCATGGTTGTATTCCACTAGATATGGCCATGAATCATTACAGGTGTCAAACAACTGTAATCCAGCTACTTATATGGCAAAATTTTGCCATAAATTACTTCTTTTTTATGACATTTATTATTTTTCAAATTTTTATTTCTCTGATAGGTAAACTTAAGGATAATGAAACTATGCAGTTTAATCCACCAATATTTCAACTCTATTCGCTATGATTCTATTAAATGTAGTATCACTGCAGTCATGCACGCATGCACATTTTATGTTTCTGAGATAGAAATGCCAGGCTCTTCCAGAGAAAAAATAAACTGAATTGGTGATGCGCGTTTTCTTATTACTTGTCTGATACTTGAGAAGAAATTGTAATTTTTCATTAGAAGCAGAAATATTCTGGTGATCTTTTGGCCTTCTGTCTTCTTCTCCAGAACAGTCTGAAGGCCAGTAGGAAACAAAATGCTGTCCTAGAATATGAAGCAAACACAAGTATCAATAAAAAAGAATATGCAAGAAAGGTTTTTTAGATGACTGATATTTTTTTTTGTTTGTTTTTGAAACTGAAGTCTCTAGGAACTCTTGGTGATCCCATTCTTTCTCTCAGTTCCTTGAAGAACCACCCTCTTCCTCCCCAGTGAAACTTCGCAACTGTGTAGGGGGAAATATACACACTGCTTTAAATGAAAGTGCTCTGGCTATTGTCTGCTGCTCTTTGCTTTAGCATCAATGGAGTCTAACCTGAGAAAAAAGCAACATATGGCTTGTTTCTGACTTTCCTCCAATTCCTCTGCTTTTCCAGATGCTTCCAAAAGGCATAGATAGATCTTATATCTAAGTGATGTTATAAAACTACATAATATGCAGCTCACTTTCCTTTCTGGGAAAGATTCTGGTTAAAAGTATCTAAATCAGTCCAACCAACCATTTTTTTATTATTTATGTAAAGATTTATTTCATTGTATATTGAATATTTGGCATAAATCTTTTTAGCACAGAACAAGTCATCATGTTTACTTAGTGATGTCTGAATTCTCTCCTACATGACTTGCTGATTGAGAGGCTCAAAGAAAGCTGTCTTTTGAATTCACATGGGATTAATTCCTGAGGCAGATGATATTTCTTTTCTGTTTGAATATACCTATTGTCAGCAGTCAGGATTTCACCAGAAGATATGTAATCCCACAGACAGCTTAAACCAGACCACAGAGAGGTCTGAAGGTGCAGCTCTAATTCCTGAAAAATCACACAATGAGACCTCAAAATGAGAAGTGTGATTACAGGCTTTGGTTGCTAAGATGGATAGCTAAGCTTGGAACAAACTGTATTTCTTTATGAGCACTGCCTTCACGCCTACACAGAGACAACAATAGCAAGCTGCCTAACAACTAATTAATGAGCAACACAATATCACAATACCTAAACCCAAACTCAGGGAAATGGATGCAGCCTTCTCTCCAAATAATAGCGGAGAATATTTCCACGTAAGGCCATGTCACATAGTATCCAGAACAAGAAGGATGGTAAGGCAACCTGATGTTGAGATTTTGGGACAAAACTGTCAAGGATAGTGTCCTGTTATGAAGACGGAAAATGCTTCAACATCCTTCCCAGAAGGTTCAGTCTTTTAAAAGGACCACACATGAATAAAAAGAACAATGAATAAGACTATGGTTCATTTGTATCTTTTTATACCAGTAAATTCAGATTAATCTACAAGCAACATGGAGTCAGTTGAAATGCATTAAGGAGCAAAATTACTAAAAGTGGCATTTGGTATGTGTATGGTTATCCTGTCTGTTTTATAGTTAGAGGCCTAAGAAGTCTTTGCTTGTTTTCATTTGACATGTGACTGACAGTTTTCAGCGATAGAAGATAGAGACAATCCCTTTATTTTGCCTCTGTAAAAGCAAAATTTGAGGGTTTTTTAGATGGTGCCATACCTTTCTAAAACATCGGAGTTCTCTGTCACATCTTACCTTTTCGAGTTGTCTTGGTACTAGAATTGGCCCTTCTTTGCTGTATGCTACTTACACTTAAATACCTTTGCATGGAAAGGAATGCAAAACAAGGTTAACATGAGTTTTGAACCAAATAGGTTTACACGTGGAGATAAAATACAATAGAAATGTAAAGCACTTCTAGGACAAAAAATGGTGCTTTGGCAACGCCAGTAAAAATCAAGTGTGAGTCTTATCTGTTTACTGTGAAGGTGAGTTGGAGTTTTGTAAGTTGGTGAAGACGGTACAATAAATGTTGCTATTAGTGATATACTTGTACACTAATGCTCACACATGAAGCATGAACATTAATTAGAGATCTGCGTGCAGCTGCAGGGTTATGATCATTTTGGGATCACAAAGACACAGTGGCATGGCACCCTTGACTGGAGTGCTGCAATGGAGAGATACAGGCTTTTCAGGGAAGACAAGCTGGAAAGACATAGCTCTTTATAGGAGAGAAGAGCTGGAATGCACTGAGCTCTGCCTGGGGATGAATGATGAGCCAGCCTAGAGCTTATGGGTAAGGATTAAAGAGAAGACATGTAGGGTTGACATTATAGTGGGTGTCTAGTACAGGCTACCTGTGCAGCTTGTTTCTGAAGTCTTAAATTTCTTTGAGACAAATAGGAAGACTGCATATGTGAAAAAAATTTGTATTAAATTATGTCTTTGAAAGAATGTGAAGACTTAATGATGTAAAAGAATTCTGTGTCATTGTACTGAAATGATCATTTATTACAGCATAGAAACAAGCAGAGCTTTTAAGCCTTCATAGTCCCACAATATTCTCGTTATGCTTAAAGGGCTCATTGAAATTGAGAGAACAACTGGCTTTTCAAAAGGCAAAAGGCAGAATGCTCCATATGAAAAATAACTATCTCTGAAACTTTAGTAGAATAAATATCTTAACAATTTGACTGAATGAGTTGATAGTGCTTTTTGTCCCTGAGAATGCTAGGGTTACTCAAATGCTTGATAAAATGCGCCTAACAATTCCATTTGGCACGATCATCAAGAGATCATGTGTGTCAAAAACTGAAAAATCTTACTCTGCATACCAGTTTATGAGCATGGAACATATTATAGGAATGACTATGTTGCATGAAAAAATGCTTCTAGCCCTGGCTCCTGACTGCAAAATGGTCAATAGTAGACATTTGGCAGAGGAAGGTTATCAAGAGCAAGATAGTTTCTGTAGTATACTCAGGACATTGTGTAAAACATCTTCTAGTGGCATATCTAATAACTTTTGAATCCTTATGAAATGTTGTCCTTCACAATATTCTGTGTTAATACTTTCTGCAGTTTAGTTAAGCATCACATGAAACATATCGTTTGTTTGTCCTGGGCTGGTGCTGGTAATTTTACCCAATTCCCTTAGCTCCATCTCGGTGAGAAACACTGAGTAATCATATCCAGCTCCAATCTCTGGCTAAAGATCAAAGAGCCATTCTACAATGGAATAAAGCAGGGAGGAACTAAGTACTTCTGCCTTGCTTACTTTGTTGAGAAACTTATAAAAGTCTTGAAGGCCATTCAGTCTGCAAGTTATAAATCAAAGAAACATCATGTTCTGCAGTTCAGCTATGTTGATCTTAATTACTTGGGAAGAACAGCTAAGGATAGAGATATCTGTGCACATCTGTGTGCATGTGTTTTACCCCTGTCATACAGCCAAACTCTTACTTAAAAAAAAAAAATAAAAGAGGAAAAAACATGTTCCAAAAACTGAAGAACTCCTGACTTTATTTATTGAGCTCCTGACTTGAAAAAGAAAAGAGAAAACTGAATACTTGGGATCACTCTCCTACCAATGGTTCCTCCTGCCCTTTTAGAAAGAAGGTTTTAAAGACTTCCAGAGTCTGTTTTCCACTGAGACTACTTCTGAGAAAGCCTTTTACATCTGTGAAAGTTGAGAAAAAAATAATCCCCTTTTTTATAGTATCAGTTGACCTACAGTAGTTTGGAGACCACTAACAGGAAATAGCCATAGATGTAAGTACACATTTCATGTAAACAGCTCTCTCTGTTGCAAAAGAGTGGGCTAAAATATACCTACTATTTGTAAATAGACAGTGATACTACTTAATGTTTCGTAAATACCAAAAAGTAATCTGGAAATAGAACTCTAGGCCAGATGGTAAAAGTGCTTGAAAGAATTATGCATAGAAAATTTACTTCTGTAGTGTATACCTGAAATTGCCAAAGATGTGTAGAGAGCAGTTCATTATCCTGCTGACTCTGGCTCCTCATCTATATGTGTGACTTTTTTTTTTTTCCTTAGTGTACTCTAGGGGCTAAAAAAAAAAAATTAAAAAAAAATTATTTTCACAGAAATCAAGTCAGCCTCTTATCATTATCCTGACATAATGATAACTTATGTACTATGCAACAAACAGCAGAGTCTGCTGTTTTTACTAAAGGATAAAAGAGCCTTGTTATTTAAAATATAAGTAGCAATGTGGAAGGAATTGAAAGCAGATATAGGATTTTAAGACTCAGGAAAGCAATAAAGTTGGGAACATTAAATAGCTTTGAATTGCCTGGAACTAAATTATTCTGGCCTCTACAAATGTCTCCTCTTTATTAACTCATTCTTCGTCAATGCCTAATTTATTGCTTACCCTCTTCTTCTACCACAGGTCTTCCCTATTTTATCTGTCATACTTCTTTTCTCTTTTACTTTCTAACTCAATTCCCTTCTTACTCCTGTGTAGCCTGACTCTGGGTGAAGCCACTGGGAGACTTGCTGGAGTAGATATGTATGCTGTTACATACACACTTCCACTGTCTCCATTAAGAAGTTAGTTCTCTTCACCATCTTCATCCATAGTCTCTTTTCATTGATAACTCAAAAACTGGTCACTCTTCTTAAATTTCAAGTACAAACTACTTTACTTTTCAACAATTACTACTTATACACTATAATACTGTAATACGGGAGTTGTAGTATGGCAATTTTAAGAGAGACAGTATGGACATAATTTTGGAAGAATAATAGGAATGGTTCCTTGCTCATGGCATCCAAGTGCTAACAGCTCACCACAACGTAATACAGCAGAATTCTAAAGACAAATGATTTAGTGATGTTAACTTCAACTCTGACTAATTTGTATCCAAAGAGTTGCGTATTTAGCAGTTACACATTTAAGTCATGCTGCTATCTCTCCTGCCAGTTTACATCCACAGGGAGATACAAAATGAGGAATTTCTAATTTTCTCTGAGTTGAGCCAATTTGCAGTACAGTGTTAATTGTAAAGACTGAAGAAAATTATTAATAACACTTCATTAATTTCATGATGAATGAAAACTGTTAGAAGGGACAGAATGAGATCTAAGAGTAGTTAATCTGTTAATAGTCTGTGTTTAACATTACTATTACTAGAGTAGTTCACTAAAGGCATTAACATCTGACAGTGATTAAAAGATTGTGGAAATAAATTTGTTAAAGTTTTGGAAAATTTCTGCTCAAATTTTTTACAATGAAAAATTACCCATGTTAAATTTCAACTTTACCACAAAACTTCAAATTTGCTTTAGGAAATTCCGAATATAATATTTTATCTTGGGACACTTTGATCTGATCTTTGAAGTTTTAAATGTAAAAATAAAATTCAAAAATATTCCAAATCTTTTCAATGTTGTTTGTCAATGTGTTAGTCACTATAGAAACGTGTAGCTGTATCCAACAGTAACTTGATGAATAAAAAGAAAACAATGAAATTGCAATAGTCATATTATGACTATCTACCTGGTTAATGTTTTTAAGCATCTTCTCTCACAACTGGATTTTTTTGTCCCCACTCACATCCCTGTTGGAACTGTGACGGTAATTAAGACAGAGCTGGTGGACAGCTGGAAATCCTAGACAAATAGCTGCTACTCCTGTGCACCTCAGTTTACATGCATACATCAACTTTCTGTCCAGTATATCCCACACAGTTGACCTACAAGTTATGTAATTGTAATTGCTAGCAGGTATGATTATTAAAAAACTAAATTTAATATTTTTCTAAGAAGAAAGTTTTGTAAGCTTCTGGTGCAGAGAGAAATGTTGACACTTTGTCATTTCATTCTAATTTGGGATGAAAATCAGAATCAAAAGAATTAATTTTCTTTGAGGAAAAAAACCCTGTGTCACCTACGACCTGTATTATTTTATTTAAGAGGGGTGATAAAATGAATTCGATCAAATGTCCCTAATTATGAAAAATCTCCTAAAGCTTCTGTTTTTAGGAAAGTAGAATTTCTGCAGTTTTTGCAGAACTGAGTAAGCAATTTTCTGTAGGGCAGAAAACTTCAAGTTTTGTGTGACATTAGATACAGTGAAAATATGATAAATACGGGAGCTGCAGGAAAATTACTCCAATTGATCCTTTTCAGACTGACCAGTGGTTTAAAATCATATTTCTGACATCACTGAGAGTAAAACTGACAGGCTACAGTGAGGATTCTCCTCACTGAGGAGAGTGGCTTCTCCTTTAACGTATATTTTGCCGCTATCTCAGAGTGCTCCCTTCAGGATAAGGATCAAGTTGTTCTGGTATAGCAGCTCCACCAGATCCTACTTTGGCACATGGCAGGTCTCCTATCCTGAAGCTATGAGCCCTAGGATCCAGGTAAGCAAACTCGGGCATCACTGTGTTTGAAAATGTCAGGGCCATCTAGTAATGGAGATGCCCAGAGAAGGTCATATAAGGAGTATATAAGCAAGATTTAATGGAATCTAGCTTTTCAAAATCTTACATTAGCATCATAACATGCTTTGGCTTGTGATTCTTTACCTGCTTTGCATTATATGAATTTTTATTAACTGTTATATAAGAAATATGTTGGCATTAGCCTGAGAGAACTATAAAAAGAACAAGTGTGAAATTATGTGTTTGATCAAAAAGAAAGCAAAAGATCAAAAATCACACAGATCTATAAAATAACAACCAGAGTAGAGAGAAGGGTGTTAAAATCAAAAGCATAATTATATTGTGCAAAATCCTGTTGAGACACATTTCTGGAAAAGTAAATTTCTTGAATTACCCCCAAAAAAGCAAAATCTGAAAAATTAACAGAAGAATGTTGATGAGTTGAACATAGAAAAGTTTAGCAGGAAAAATATAGTTATGGAAGCCGTAACACGCTTGTGTAAGCTCACACTGCCAAAAAGAAGTTACAATGGTAACACTGCAGTAAATAATCTGGTTAGAACTTTCTTACCCTTCACTCAGGCTCCTAATAAAGGAGAGAGACCTGAAAAAGGCAAACATGTAAAGTCAGCATAACTTTGCAATGTGCTTCCCAGAGACAGTGGGAACAGATAGAAAGGATATTGGTAAGTTTTGCTAGTTTTTTATGTTTGTTTTTTTTTCCAGTACCGGTATATTGTGACCAGCTATTTTCAATGTTTGTATCAACTGCAAAGATGATATAAACATAGTGATTACAAAAGGCAAACGATACTTGTTTTATTGCCCAGTGAAAGCAAAGTTAGGACAATACAGAACAGCTGTTTGGCATACTTTCTGGGGTTTAGAAACTCTGACAGAGACCTAAGGGCTTGTGTGTCCATTTGTGCAAATGAGCTTGGCTGTTTGTGCCACATCCCTATAGCTGCCAGCATTTATATGCTCTTTATGCTGGGAAGAGTGCCAGCTTGCCTACATGCTAAATAAGCAAAGGCGGTGAGCACATTTAGGGGAATGACCAGAGAAAAGGCATTTTCATTTATTTACTGTTAGCACTGGAAAGCAACAAGAAGTGAAAAGTGAAATATAACCACTACCACAAGCATGAGAGGGATGGTACCCTGGGAATGGGTTTAGGCAGTGAGAAAAAAACTAGTTTCCAGTCTGACACCTCTTACATTGTGTGCAGTTTTTAAAGTAAAACCAAAAAAAAACCTGTAATGTAGCTCCTAATAGAAAAGTTTCTCCCTCCAACAAAATAAATTGAATAGATTTACTAAAGGCTCAAAATTATATGATACATATTAGATATATGTTTAGTCTGAGATCTCCCTTTAAAAAAGAGGTTAAATCTGATTTCAGACAGGTGAAATTTATGTTAAAATACTCATGAACTTCCACAGTTGAAGTGATTTACTTTCAGAATGAAGTCCCTGATATGACCCCTGCAGTTCTGTTTTCATTATGACATGCAAAAGAACTGTTTTTTGACGTCTACTAAAAAGTATTTCCCTATCTCAATTGCATTTTGATTTCTTCTCATCTGATAGTATTGATGGATATATTAATAAAAGTTGTTTCTTCTATGATGTATTTCAGTTTGTGCCTGGCCTACATGCATTATTCCCTTGTGATTCCACTTGCAGAGATATGCCATGCCTTTAGACCAGCAGAAAAAAAACTTTGAATTTCATATTTGTTTTTAATGTATATAGTGCCATAGTACATAGTTGAATTTTACAGAGAAATATATGGATATCCTGGTTAAGAGACCAAGGAAAAAAAAAAAGAGACCCAAAACCAAGAGTTCAACTGGAGTAGATCTACTGAAAAGAGAGAATATATCCTGAATAAGAAAAATAATACATTGTATCACAAGAGCTAAGAAGAAGCAAATCTAACTTCTAAGTGTAAAATATTCATTAATTAATATTTTCAATTACTGATATGTGGTAAAAGAAGTACTTGTGAGTGGAGACCTTTAAGAGCATTTCAGACAAGAATACCAACATATTTCATGATATAAGTGATACCAGCTTCTGGCAGTCTGGTGCAGGGTACAATCCACAATGAGAAGTGAGTAGCTTATATATATATAAAATATGTGTAATATAGCATAATAAGTGTAATGACCGTAAATTAGGCTTGAGACTGTGAGGTATGTGGTGAAGGGATTAACGAGGTGTGGTGGTTGCATCACTCTGATAGGGGTGATGGGCTGCTGGGTGATTAGGCTGTCAGGCAGAGGACTGATGGTCCTTAAATGCTGCCTCTGTTGGTTGGATGGAAGAGTGATGGGTGTGGTTTGTGGTTCATGGTTCTGGTCTGCCCTTGTGCAAGATCCACAGCTCTTGGGCAGCTTGATGGAAGGTCAACTCTCCTTATCCATTTATGTATGAAAACTGCAGCAATGTGAGAAACTGCTATGTGAGAACCACTATCTGCGATGGCAGCAACAGGTGATTTGACTAGTTTCACCTCTGCCTCTCTCAAGAGTATAAATTTGGCATTTGAACTCCTCTATGGTAGAGGGTAAGTGTATGATTTTGCTTTGCAAGCAACTTGGTGGGCTTGTGCTTCTCCTCTGCACAGCAAGGATGTCTTTGGTATGACTTGTGCCTCTTACTACATCTGGTGATAACTGGGTGGAACTAAAGTAATGAATTAGCAACTGTTTTTTCCATATAAGCTCAATTAATCATTGGCTACCTTTGGTTTTTAGAGCTAATGCAGTAAGAATCCAGTAAGTGAATTTAACAACTGTGATTTGGAATCTGTTGCTTCAAAATTCATGAATTCTATTTCTTGTGGAAGTTCTTACTGAATGTGACTGGATGTACAGTGTCAAATTGGTTATAATTGGAAATTATGCTTAGCTTCACCCAGCTCCTCTGATCTCTGAGGGCTGGTTGGAATGCAAAGGGGTTTACTTTCTGCCAAATTTCTGGACTCTTAAATCAATAGATGACCAGTCAGTATTTGATTAAGTGGGTTTTTTAATAATCTTTTAATTTATTTTTAATTTATTTTATTTTGATAGGTAGTGAAAACTGTCATCATTGGCTGAAGGGAAAGTAGATTCATTGCAGAAGCAATTAAGTAGAATTTATTCTATTGTGTGTCTTTTGAATGGTGAATAGCTCCACTAATTTAAATCCTAAATTTAAGACAGTAAGACAATTTCAATTGTCTTATAAATTAATTATCATTTGCATAATCTCTGTTACAGAGAACCTTTTGATCTAGTGAAAGGAAGAGTTTACAGTGTACCTTAAGTTCCTCCCATCTCTTAGCCACTCAGCCAAAGAAAAACACCAGACAATGAGTAAAAATGGAAAAGCAGACACAGTTGTATCTTAATCCAGGTCTTTGAGTTCTCTATTTCTCACCTTCCCCACTTCTCAATCCCCTTCCTCCTTCTTTCCCTTCCCTGCTTAATCCACATTTCTCTTTGTTGCTGAAACAGAACTTTCATTTCTAGTTAACTAATCTACTTGTCTTCTACCTGCAGTGCTACCTTCACCAAAGACCTGGAAAGATCCTTGCTGACAGGATACAGTTCAGTTGCCTTGTTTATCCCCTTTCTTACATCCATCTTATCTGTTTAGACAAAAGGGTTTTAAGGGCACCAATACTCCATGTTTGGCCTGGCAAAGCTAGTTTCCTCTTACTTCCTAGTCATAACGATTATGAGCATAGTTAATAACAACAGGTATCATATGTATTTAAGCAGTCTTCATTATAACTTCTTGACTTCTTACGCTTTTGTTACTTATGCATTAAAACTTTTTTTTCTGTTGAAATAATTTGAATGTGTATTAAGTAAATTTGTTGATTATATTAAATTAGGACAAGCAATTGTTTTGCCTTGAGAGTAGAGGTGTCTTACAGAGAGACCTGTACGTCATCAACCATGTGAAACTTAACAAAAGCAAGCGTCAAATTCTGCACCTTGGATGAGGTAATCTTCATTATACATACAAACTGGGGGATGAGAGGCTGGAGGGCAGCCCTATGTAAATAAATCTAAGGTTTGGGTTGGTAGCAAGTTGAATATGAATCAATAGTGTGATCTTTCAGCCAAAACAGACAATCCTGTCTTGGAGTGCGTCAAGTACAGCATAGCTATTCAGTAGAGGGAGGTGGTTGTCCCACTCTACACTGCACTGGTGTGGCACTGCTTTAAGTACTGTGTGCAATTCTTGGGAACCTCAATGTAAGAAAGACATTAAACTGCTAGAGTGTGTCCAGAAGAGGGCAACCAAGATGCTGAAAGGCCTCGATGACAAGGCTTATGAGGAGCTGGTGAGGTCACTTGGTTTGCTGTGTGAAGAAGAGAATGCTGAGGAATGACCTCATCACAGTCTGCAACTACCTTAAAAGGGCAGAGGAAGAGGAGGTGCTGATCTTGTCTTTCTAATGACCAGCAATAGGACACAAGGAAATGGAATGAAGCTACATAGGGGGAAGTTCAGCCTGGACACTAGGAAAAGATTCTTTACTGATAGTGGTTGTTTAGTCACTGAAACAGATTCCTCAGGGAAGTAAGTGGTCATGGCACCATGTCATGAGCACCTGTTAGTGTTCAAGAAGCATCTGGATGATTGTTTTAGTTGTATAATTCAGCTTTAGGTAGTCCTGTGAGGAGCAGAGAGTTGAACCCTATGATCCTTGTGGGTTCCTTCCAACTCAAGATATTCTATGAATTAAATAAAGAAAAGGAATCAAAATACAGAGCTGGCCAAATCAAGAAATCAAGTGGCAGTGAAGCTTTCTTAAGGTTTTTGCTCAATAGAGTAAATAAATCTGAGACCAAAGGCTCATGCTCTAGTGTGCTCTTGGGGTGACTACTGTGTATTGGGATCCTAGACTACGTGGTTATTGTGATTTAATGACCACAGGACCCATTCTGTTAGCCCAATGCAACTTTAGTTAAAGTTATGTAAAAAATCCAATATGGGAACCCAATATTAGATGAGATAACCTTAAAGGTCTTAGTTCTATCCACACCTAAGTGTGGACTTGCAGCAAAGCAGTTAGTGACTTGTGAAACTCACTTCTACATTAATTACTGTGAATAGGCACACACAAAAATAGATCTTCTAGGGGTCTTGCTTAAAGTTTGTTGATATGAGATGCCAGGTATGAACATTTTTCAATTAAAAGTGAACATAGACAAACAGCATTGTACTGTTAGCTAGTAATATGGTAAGATATTGATTACTTCTAGAGACCTCTGTCCAGCTTTTAAATAAAATATAATACTTACAAGAAATATGTGTAGGTGGCTGAGCTGCAGGAGGTGGTGGGAAGGCTGTGTTACATTTGAGAGGCTGAGAGGGAGTTAAATAGCTGGTTCCGAGTGCAGTCTGCAGTGAACCCCTACCCAAACAGCCAGAAATTCCCCAACCAGCACACAGAGAAGGACAGAAAGGCAATAATATGGAAAAAAACCCAGCTGAATGCTTGTTTTAGGTACTTCACAATACAACATAGTCCATGTCCATAAGAGTTTCCAAGTAAATATATTTACTGGGCATACATGTTTTAAAAAAGGTCAGATGATAAAGCAGTAAGGAAGAAATGTGAGAAACAAAATTAACATCATGAAAGATTTATTATCAGATCTCTCTTAATTTTACTTTCCATAACAAATTTGCATGCATGAGGGAAACAAGGGAGAAGAAAGAAAAAGCACGAGTAAGCAGAAGCAGGAGGAGAGTTAGGAATAATATAGGTCAAGAAAAATTAGTAAGATTCCAATTACTGTTATTAGTAGTGTCACTAATATCCTACTGCAGCCATGGAATCTTAATACCTTCCTATATCCCAGAACAAGGAACTGTGTCCACTTGGGAAAGCTGCTCTTGTTTTCTAAACTATGTGACCAAAAGCAATTGTCTATTGTTTTGTTTGTACAAAGATGTATAGCAAATCTGTAAGACAACTTACACTTTAAAAATTGTCTTGTATTACCTCAGGTTGAATTCTAAAGTACAATATGGGCTTTCCTATATACTATGTTATTTTAAGGAACTTCAAAGTACATGATTAAAGGATAAGCTATGTTATAACACTTGGTAGCAATTTAGCATTTATTCTGACTGGTATGTTCAGGGGTTCTT